CTGGAATATGAAACTTACTCCAAAAAAGGAAGGCCAGAGACTGAAAGCTGGCAGAATGTCAGACAGGTTATGTAAGTCATGCAATTCAAAGCACATGTTAATTTACTATCCTGATGGGACTGTTTTACACTGTTTATATAGCAAGACAATAATGATATTATCTCGCTTTTGCTTTGTTTTGAACATCCAAGGTTAATCACAAAATTGTAGAATAGTCTGAGTTGGAAGGGACCCACAAGTCCAACTCTTAAGTGAATGGTCCATACAGGAATCTAACCTGCAAACTTGGTGTTATTAGCACCATGCTCTAACTAACCAAGACAATAAAACAAAAAGAAGGTAACGAAGTCACAATTTTACCTGGTTGTTGCTTCAAATAAATTATTTGGATTAAAGATTTATGCTTATTTTCTATTTCGGATCAGTATTCCCAAACTGCAGAGGAAATGGAGGAGACTCTTGCCAGCAGTGACAACAAGAATGTCACTTGAAAACACTCAGTTTGTTGCAGAGGACAAGATGAAAATGAGATGTGTTCAGAGGATGTCAGTGAGATACTCATGACATAGCTATAAACTGTACCCAGAACTTTAGTATGCTCACACCTAGTATGGTAGTGAATTATTGAAAAGTGCCATTTCTTCATGTAGGCAGGTTGCAGCATGGTTGAACAAATGCTCACTGTCTAGATTTAATAATTATTGAGCAATCCATGGCGATGGTTTTTCTCTTTGCTGAGCTGCTATATGCTGATCCTCTTCAGCTGATCACACTGATCCCCTCTAACACCTTTCCATAGATCCATAACTTCAAGAGGAGAGCTATGAGATGTACTATAGAGCTGTGGAATAACTTTCTGTAACTATACAGAGAGTGAGAATGAAACTATGTGCCAAGTGCTTTTAGATTATGTAATCAGATTCTTCTGTGTGTGTTACAAGCCAATGCCTTAATACTTGATCTAAGAAAACCAGTTGTGACCTAACAAGCTTAACAGTCACTTCAGTGACACAGATCCTAGCTTTACTGAGCCTGAACTACACATTCAGCAGAAAATTTGCCTGTGTATTGAACCTCAAACAGACAAAATCCCTTATCTTCTTCTGTACAAGTTTTACAGGGGGTTTTCTTCCCATTTTAGAATGCCAACACATACTAATTTAGAGTATGAACAAACTAAGGAGCAAAATTTACTAAGTCTATTCTGTACCAAAAAAAAAAAAAAATGAATGCTCTAAAGGCTGTTTTGCACACATTTCTATAGATAGGATGCAATTGATACAGCTGGTTTTAGAATGAAATCAATAGGCAACTTTTTGTAGAAGCCAAGACAGTGTCACACCAAACACTTAAAAGCTGTTTGTCAGCGTACTGGTTTTCCTTGGTTTTCCTTCAGTCAAACTGAATTGATGGGATCCAGGTGACAAAGAAGTGTAAAGAAATAGAATCTGCCAAGTAAGTTCAGAGCATAAAGTACTTGTGAAGAGAAGAGGATTTGCAAACTGCCCTCGAAGCTGAATTTTTCCATTTCCCAGAGAACATCCTGGTAGAAGTCATTCAATCTATGTCAAATATTCCAAGATGGCACAACTGATATGGCTTGGTACTGACTAGAAAAGAAATCCATAAGGAAAAAGAGTAATCCATCTTCCAAGATCACTCAGTTATGTTTTTTTTGTTCAAAACTGCTACCTTATACCTGCATATTAGCAACACCAATATTTAGGGAATATTTCGCCTCTTGGACTGCACCAGCTTGTTTCTCATTCTCTAAGCAGCTATAGGATGGTGTACAGTTTCAATTTTATTCCCAGATTCCTAGGCTGAATTGGATTCAGTGGCCTCAGTTCTGATTTAATGCTATAGGACCAGTCCTTATTCATAATAAAAATCTTTACAGTATTGTTTTAGAGACTCATGGAATTAGGAAATCAATAAACTGAACCACTTGAACAGAATGTACTCAGCTATGAGTACATGCTCAGAAGTGTTACATAAAGCTGGTAATTTCCAATGGAGAGGCTATAACCTTGTTAGGGTCTCTTGGTCATCAGAGACATGTAAAAGGGACTAAGTATAAATGAATATTTTTGCTCTAATTTCTACTTATTCATTGCCAGTACTATATCATCCAATTACCCTTCATCCTGCTGTATGTTTGTAATTTTTTTTGTCATGAACCATTTTTAAAGTCTCCAATGACAGAAAAAAAGAGGAAAAAAAGTTTTCCTTCAAAGTCAAGAAGAACAAGATTGATGTCTTTTGTACATTAATCCAACAGTTTAAATTAAAAGATCCAAAGCCCTCATGACTCTAATTAATTTTACTTTGGAGATGGGATTTTAGTATTTGCCGACTTTCTGTAGTTATAATGAAAACTTGCCTGCATATTGAATGATTTTTTTTCCTTTTTCCCCCCCTTTTTTTTCCTTTCATCATAATATTTTTGTTATTGGAAGCACAAATATAGGAAGCATTTGAAAACCAGCCAGTTGAGACATCAAGCAGTTAAATAACTTAATGTTGCAAAGATGTAAGCATGTGCTGAAATGTATGTATGAATAGTCCCATGTGTAAAGTTAATTGCCTAGATTAGCACATAATGATGATGCAGCACCATAGTACAAATAAACACAAGTTATATGGACAAAGACTGTATCTTTTAATTTTAAAAAGGTAGTGATTAGAAATTTATGTTTCCTTCCTGTCTTTATTTGAAAGGGTGCTCCTCCTGAGCAGTCATTAACTCTGGCTGTGGTCTTGCTCAGCTCTTCACCTCTCCGTAGCCTGCTGATTGGAAAGCAGGAACCCAGGGCACTTCCTCTCCTGCTGTTGGACCCTAGTTTTATATCTCTGTTTTATTAACTGTTACATGAAGTGATCTCCATCTAGGGCACACTTTTCACAAGGTCTCTTTCCCTCCATCTTTCTGACAGCTTATTATGACTGAAGTGGAAATGTTACATAAAACAAGCTGTTTATGGAAATCTTATTTCTGTCACATGAGCTCTATTCTGATGTGACAGGCTCTCTATCTGGCTGCAAGCGTTAAATATATTAATTATGTCTGTCATTATGCAATTCCCCTCTTATCACCACTGGATTTTAAAGACCTAGTAAAATATACTCTGAGCAGTAAAATCATAGCACCTAAGCACACTTCAGCGTTTATAACAATCTGACATAATAAGGATACTGTCATTGAAGAAACACCTTCCTACACCCATGTGGGTACTTGAAAATCTGTGCTTTCTCCATCCTCCTACATAAATATAGTAGCTTAGGAACTTTTATGCTGTGCCTTGATTTTTAATGATTAGAGATGTCAGGTACCATTTAAAACATAAGAGATTAAAAGGGACAATTCAGCTTTAACTATAACAGAGCTTTCCTTTAGATGTAGTCAATTGTTCTGATTCTGTGAAGTGGGAAACGTGTAAGAAAATAAGAAACCAATTAAGCATTAAACTAGAAAGCATTAAGATCCTGTCTCAGGACCTCTTACTCTTGCTCTTGGATACCTAAAAAGCATAAACACTCTAAGGTGACAGACTTTGATGCCAGTCTATCTCCACTCACCGCAATTAAGTATTGAAGATTTCTACAAATGAGAACTAAACTCTGAGCTGCAGTGGTGGATCCAATCTTCCCAAGTGTAATACATGTTCTCAAAACACAATATAGGTTGTGAAGTCCAACGAAAAATATTTGGTCAGGACCTTGCTAATCTTGTGCTCTTGCTACCAAATCGCACCATTAAATACTGGACAAGTCTAGAATGCCATTCTGGATTCTGACAGAATAAATGTAGGATTTATATATAGGTTAAGAATTGCAGATATTTTTATAAAAGGAAAGATTCCACATAAGATTTTTAAGAATAAGAAACATAGCATGTATATAGAGGAAATAATTAAATACTGCAGGATGCCAATTTTTTTTTTGAATCCTGGTATAGACTTGGGAGATATAATTGTCTATGTCATTCTTTTGCCCTCTTGTTAAAGTAGATATCCAAAAGTTGGTGATCCATATCTAGGAAAGGCAAGGTGCTAGACTGAGTATCTGTGTGTTATTACCATGTTGTGCAGCACATCTGGATTGTAAAACTGTAGTCAGAGTGGCAAAACATCTTCTAAGCAGTGTCTAGGCACAGTAATAAGGATTTGTACCAAGCAATCCAGCAAGGCTCAAGTTAGCAGCCCTGAATCTCTTGTTCTCCTTTGCTTTATCACTCATTTGCTTTGGGACTGACACAGTTCTGGCCATTGTGAGTGACAGGAATGGCTACAGAAATCATCAATTTTGGCAGTAGGGTTTTGCAGAAGACCAGAGGTTTGCAGTGGCGAGACACAGCTTACTCCAGCCCTTTAGCTGATACAAGAGGAAGACGAGCTTCCTCCTGAATTTTGACAGCAGCACCTGGGAGGAGGGAGGCCTGCGGACCCCCCACTCCGAGAAGGGTCACCTCTCAGGGTCCGCCTGCGGCTGGCATCGGCTGCCGCGCCCCGCCGCCAGCCCGGCCGCCGCGGGACGGCGGAGGTGTGCGAGCGACGTGCCGGGGGAGGACCGGGGAAGGTGCCGAGCCTTGTGGCCCTGGGGCGGGGCTGCCGTGCGCCTTGCCCGTGCATTGGGTCTGGATTCATACATAAGTATAGCCGGGCTGGGCTCGCCACACTCCCCTACCCCCCGCCCCCCAGCCCTGGAAGAGAAGGGAGAGAGAAACAAGAAGAGGGGGGGGAAATCCCGGTGAGGTCATTCCAATGAGAGCGCAGGAGGAGAGCGGACAAGGTCGACTTTCCCGGCGGAGGAGCAGCCCCTAGGAGCGCGGAGCCGCGCACCCACCGCCGGCCCGGCACCTTGGAGAGCTCCGCCGCGCCGGGGCCGCGCCGGGGCCGCGCCGGGGCCGCGCCGGGGCCGCGCCGGGGCCGCGCCGGGGCCGCGCTCGGGGCCGCGCCGGGGCCGCGCTCGGGGCCGCGCTCGGGGCCGCGCTCGGGGCCGCGCTCGGGGCCGGCGCGGCGCTGCCTGCGCGGGGCCCGGCGGCGCCGGGGCTGCCCCGCCAACCCTCGGTAGCGCCCGCCGGCCGCGGATGAGCCGCTCCGCCCCGGCTGCCTGCGAAGGAAGAAAAGTTTGGGGGCGACTTAGGGCCGCGGGAGCGCCCGAGGAGGAGGAGGAGGATGCGCGTTTTCCCCGGCTGATCGGGAAGGAAGGATGACCGAGGGAGGATGTGCACCAGCAGCCAGATCATCGGGAGCCTCCTGGTGCTCTCCGTGCTGGAGATAGGGTTAGGGGTGTCCAGCGTGGCCGTGGGGGCGGTCAGTTTCAGCCTGGTCCTCACAGAGCATAAACCGCAGCTGGGAGACTCTTCTCCGGTATGGAGCGGGGTGTGTGTACGTTAGCCATTTCACTCTCTCTTTAACTCTTTGTGGTGATGATCAGACCGTGCTTAGGCATCCCCTTTTCCCTTCCCTTCCCTTCCCTTCCCTTCCTCTCCCTGCCGCGAGTGCATGCTGCGCCGACCTCGCCGGGTCCATTTGCGATGTGCTTGGGTACGGTCCTGCAGAGTCTGGGCGAGGGGGAGGCACGGCGGGGACAGATGTACGTGTCACGGGCGGGGGGACACCTCTTCTTTCTCGCTCCTTTCCATTTTTCAGTCTTGCTGTGAGCAATTGAACTTTCTCTGAACCCCTTCTCACACCTGGGAAAGCTCGATGCTTCACGTGAAACCCGGGCCATAGCTTACGGTCCTTAAATTGACTGTGAGTTTTGCTTTTTCAAAAGAACAGCCCTGTCCATGATGAGGAGGCTGTCAAAAGGTGCTTTGAATTAATGTCAAGGGTAAGCTGAGTCTTGAGTTTTTGGAGGAAAAATAGAAAGAGGCGTTGGGAAAGAAAAGGAGAAAGATGTTCTCATGTACTGGGTGCCCTGATCTTCTTGTAAAATGAACAAAAAAAAAAAAAAGAAAACCCAGTAATGGGTCAATAGAAGCAGCATGTTCATAACACAGAGCATTTTTTACTTCTCAAAAATGTTTCTTATTTTTCCAGTTTGAGATATGCATGTTTCTAGGAGGAATTTTCCTCCAAATGGTTATTTATATTTAGGAAACAAAGAATAGGAAATGTTGAATATTCAGTCTAAACATGAGTGGGCATTTTTGAAGTCCAAAGCTGGTTTTGGCCAGCTTGTATTGTACAGCAGTATTTCTAAAAGGATTGTTTACATAGCTTCAGATAACATGATAAATGTAAAACATTCTTGATTATTCACCAGCATAACCTCCTCTAATTTATAGATTAATTCAGACAAAGTGCTTCATTTAATATTCTCGCTGTCAATAATTATTAATTATTGACAACAGTGATAAATATTTTTGGCAGTATATAAGCACTCATAATTCTGCACTGCAAAACAGGTAGGTGAGAACTGAAATTAATACTAGATCAGACAGGTAATGATATTACCAGGCCAACAGGTAATGCTATTATCAAAATCACTTCAGAAAGGGAGGTTTCTGATCATTGTTAATGAAGAAAAAAATTATTTTAAACCACATGTCTGTCTGAAGATTTATTGGCAGAGGTCAGTTTCCTGGGTTTTACTGAGGTTAAAGAGCTTTGGTCAATCAGTGAGATCAGTATTTTATGCAGTGATTGCATTTTGTGACAATGCTATCACAGCTGATATCATTTCGTGACGATGCACATTTCCTGCATAACTGCCTCATTCATTTTTATGCTATTGCCCCAGAGTTTGTACTAGGCATAGATTAACATTCTGTAATATTAGATGTTGGCTTTCAAGGACTTTATAGTCATAGAAAGAGACAGATACAGCGTAAAAAAGTGTAAGTGAGTATGAAGAAAAGAACAAACCAAAACTGAGTGGTATAACAGGTGGTTGTATTAACACACCAGCAGTCTGGCTGATTTAGAGCTGTTTATAGGTAGAGTTTTAGAGAGCAGTAAGACAGAGGACAGTGAAGAGGTTTACAGGAAGATATTTATAGGAAATTATTCTCACATGTGAGTGCAGAGGCATCAAAGGTAACCCAAAGGGACTTGTCTGCAAATGTAACAAGTGAGCAAAGGATGCCCACAACCAGAGCCAGCAGAGGCTGGGAACTGAGCAAAAACTGCAGACTGAATAGGCAGAAAGAGGCCTCAAAGAAAATGCAAAGTGGAAGAAGGAATCTTATACTTCATGTAGCAGAGGAAATTAAAAAATCAAAATGACATGCCGCATGGGGTAACATGTTTCTAAAGGCTGACTTACTTTTCATTGAACTAAAGATCTGTGGTCTAAATTGTCACCATTATACCTCTCTCTTTGTACTATTCCAAGAGTTCAAACTGTTAGGTTGCATTCTTCTGACTGGAGGGCTAGCAGGTCAGGCAGGCAGGCCAAGAAAGGGGCCTGAGATTTACTGTTCTCTAAGGATACTTAGGGTCATGGGTAACTACTTTCAAATTTAAACAACAAGACAAAGGTTTGTTTGGACAATCCTGCTGCAGAAGTGGCATAAGCATCCTTTCTGCTCATTGTAGCTTACACTGAGCTTGTGTTGACTGTATTAAAGAATATGTCTTGCATAAAATAGGTGACTTTTTCCAATTTACACCATTGAATCAGAGTCTTCCTTTGAAAAGTGAACACTAAGGAAAAGAAGGGGACATTAAAAAAAAACTAATTCTTTAACATGTTAGATACAAAACACTTAACTTGAACAGTATCATTCCTGCTGTTGCAATTTACTTGCACAGAAATGCAAGAAAACCTTTGACCCTGTTCTATCCTTTTATGTGGGTGGAACTCAGCAGAGACCCAAGTTCATGTAGAAGTAGATGAAGATAGCATCACCATGGAAACCTTAACCTGAATTCCTAAAATTTGGGCATCTTAAAAATCATGCACATTCTATCTTCTATACTTGCCTCCTTATGATGCTTCGCACTTGACAAACATCAGCTTTTCTATTAAAAGAGTTGTTATTGTTCACTGCCTCCATTCAGACAGACGATTTATTAACATACCTGATTTTAACCATGTGGATTCCATCCGTAGCATTATGGAAATAAGTGAAATTAAGCATGAGCTGAAGTACCCTGATCATTGCATGCCCTACATTATGTATAAGCAAGCCAGGGAAAGTAGAGTATGCCAGAATGAAGAAATTGAAAGCCTAGGAAATGTCTGTATCAAAAAAATACATTAAAATAGGGAGAAAATGAAGTTTCAAATCTGTTGTTCTCATTGGAGTAGAACTGGATTAAGATAGTACAACTTGTTTAAAAAGTAGCCATAAGAAAACAACTGAAGGTGTGACTGTCTTCTCAAATTATCTGGAGCATGTGGAGACAACTATCCAGTTTACATCATCACCAATCTGTTCTTTTTAAAATAGGCCACGGCTGTTAAATTGCAAAAAATGCTAAATCCAAAAACAAACCCACAATAAAAGTAGTCCCAAATACCCTAAATTGCACACACTGTTGATCTCTAAATTTTCTTTCTGTTTATTGTTTGTATTGGGATAAACTATTCTACAGGCTGTAATCAGTATCTCCCAGATTTCTTTGTTTCCCAGAAACTGAGGGATATTTCTGAAATCCACCATTCCAATTCAGTTATGTGACGAACTATAGAGTAATTCAACCAATGAGACTGCTGAACCACTAACAATAACATAGTAAAAATGACAGCATCCATAGCAAAGGCTTTTGCACAAACAACAAAAGTCAGAAGACAACCAAAAAGTATTCACATTTTTTTTTTAATGGTCACATACTTCCCCATCTATATTTAGAACACAGTGGTTTCATCACTCTCACTATGAGTAGTGAATAGGTATTCACACATACACATACATTTGTGTAACTTATCCTCATTTATTCTGCAGTGGTGAATAAATCCTTGCTGTAAATGAGTCGCCCTCACAGAGAGAGAGAGAGAATGAGAGACAAAAGCCACATCTTTAGAGAAATATGCCATCTATCTTCATATGTGAGAGAGATACTCGATGATTCACTTATGGCTGTGCCCCTCAAGAGTAATAATTTCTTCCCTTATAAAGGCAAATATCTGAATGTATTTGAGAGATATGCACTTTCTCTATGCTGGTCTGTTTGACTGTCTGTAGATAGAGGCTGAATAACTGTTTCCATGATTTGTGATTATATCACAGTGGAAGTCTGCCTACCCATTAAAAATCTGCATTTGGCTACAGAAATTAGTTTCAAGTTGGCACTTGAAATATTTGATTTAAATTACTTTATTTTTTTTTTTTATCCAAGATTTGAAGGAAAAGAATAAGTGTCAGTATGTAGGGACTTTCCCAGAGCAAGAAAACCTTTTTAGATTGGTAAATCAATGTTGGTGGCCTGAAATTTTAAACCACTAGATTTTGCATCTAGATTTTACTGTTGCCAAGTTTCCTTTGGAAAGAATAGTCAAATTTTTTTTTTTTTCCAAAAACAGCACTAAAAAAAATCACATTATTGTTTAGCATGCAGACAAAATGCAGATCCTACTTTATTTTAACATATGTATTGCATTTTCATCAAATTGACTGTATTTCTGTCTGGCTCCCACTCGTGGTGAAATTAATCACAGGACTTTCAGTGAGCTCAGTAGAAGCTGGAAAGAGTTCTGTACCTATAGATAGGGAAGGACATACCAAGGGTGGAAGCTTCTTGCATTGCATGGAGCCAGGACAATTCACTGAATTCAGCTGAGGTCTTTCAGTAGGTTTTTTTGTCATTTGGAGACTCCAGAGGAAAAAAAACCTGGAAGAGGTTCCATCTAGCTCCTGGATTGTGTTTAGAGGATCTGTTGAATATAGACTGACTTAAGTATATGCTTAAATGGTTTACTACTATAAGACTGAAGTTCACCTGCAGGGAATAATCTTTCATTTATTACTTTTTTGAGATGTAAACAGTCACACTGTAAACCAAATGCTTGATACAAAACAAACAAAAAACATTTTTTTAATTTGTTATTCTGATAGGCTCTAAACAAGCAAAAAGTAAACATTATTATTTTGCGCTGAGATTTTAAGTGTTTTTAGAGATGGATGGAGGATTTTTGAATCACTGATGTCAGATTCAGAAACACACTTAATTTCCTTGATTGTTTCTAAAAACTATTCCCCATCTCTGTAGGTCTATAATCAGATGAGTTGAAACACTAATCACAGGGACTGTGATAGAATTTAGCCTGCTTGCATATGGCTTCAATCAGTGGGAAGTGTAGCAGCACCTGATCTGATAAGACCCAATAGCACAATGCCAGACAAGGTATTGACTCAGATTAGACATTATTTAACACTATGCCTCAATTATAACAGAGCCTCCCCTCTCAGCATGACAGATTTGGTGGGACACAAGGT